CTGGGCCCCAGCTTCTTGGGAATCTTTCTCAGGATGATGTTCCCAGCCCCTTCTCTTTTTTTCCCTAGCTTTAAGGATATTAGGTGTTTCTCTATCTGAACTGCACCTGATACCAGGAGATTCTGAAGTTTATTTGATCATGTCCATGTCCTTTAATATTGTACTGCTCTCCTTTCCAATAGGACCTGTCATACTAGTAATTCATAATATGAAGTCACATCACAATTAATTAAAAGCATCACTCTTGTTGACTAATGAAATAATCCTGAGAATCAAGTGCCTTCATTTCTTAATTTTTATAGTAGTTATGATGGTTATGAGAATTGTGCGTGGTCAGTCGTCTTCTGACTGCGCTGGAGAATCAACAGGCAGAAAAGTATAAGCTCGGGCTTTTAATTCTCGGTTCAAGTAATAGAGAACAAAGGAGCTTTTATGGCAGTCTCAAAAGAATCTCATTTCTTGTAGCTACAAGGCTGGCTTTGGCTTCTCTTAAAAAAGTAGATGCATATTTTAATTGTGCTGATTGTAGAATTACAATGTAATTCAAAATCTTACATTGGCTATGTCTCTCATGAGAAAAACATTAATTGGGAAGGAAAGTGAGGCTAAAACTTGTATGGTGACATCTGAGAGGACTTTAACTGTGCTTAGAATTCTGAGGTTTTCTATGACTTTTTTTTTTTAAGATTTTTTATTCAAGAGAATAAGCACATGGCTGCACATGTGAGTAGGGGGAGAAGCAGCGGAAGGAGAGAATAAGCAGACTCCTCACTGAGCATGGAGCCAGCTGAGGGACTCGGTGTGAGGCTGGATCTCAGGATTCTGAAATAATGACCTGAGCGGAAATCAAGAGTCAGATGCTCAACCAACTGAGCCACACAGGCACCCCTCTAAGACAGTCTTAGTAATGGAAGCAATGCACCTTCCTGGATGTGAGATGACTATCCTGCTCTTGGATTAAGACCCTTCAGTAATTCTGTCAGGTAAAGAATTGTAAATCAACCAGCTGACAGGCTGAAAGAAAAGGGTAGTAGAAGAAGGAAGTTATTTATATCAACTACAATCATGTAATTCATTACACATATGGGGACTATAGAGGGTATGCGTATTTTATTCCTTACTTGCTATTACTTTCATAGACATATATAGAGCTCTGTCTTTCTGTAAAGTTCACAGGGGTATTTAAACAAATATCAACAAATTGAGTTATATTTGAGGATTATTTATTATATGTATATATTATATTTGAGTATATGTTGATTAAATAGTTTTTTTTATCTCCCTTCTCCTCTTCCCCTACTGTTTTATAGAAAGGTATTTTCATCATAGACAGGCTTACCATTGAATCTTCGGGAAACAGATTATTCAAGTGGGACCATGATTATATTAGAAGATGACATGTCATCATTCAGAAATGGATGCTGAGATTCTTGCCTAGAAATGGATATGATGGATATGATGGCCAAAACTTGGATTTTGTGTATCTCCTTTTTGGACAAATGCTGAGGGCATTTTGTTTGTATGAAGGATAATTGCATCTTATTGTTGTGAGACAGTATACATATGCACAGAAGTGAATGTATGGTACCAAATAACCAACGCGGTGAAGTTTGTCAGTTATTAGGCATTTATCTGTCACCTCCAAATCTAACCTTCCATACTCTATTTTGTGATGCTGGGGCTGGGACTGTTTAGTTTTCATTTCTTCTCTTCCACTGTCAGGTTATTCCAATAGAAGGCACTGGAGGAAGCCTAGAGAGCAGATAAGGAAAAGGGAAAAGAACGTTCTCCTTTTTGTTGACTTACTTTGCCTTTTAATGTTACCCTTCACCTTGTGAAAACAGTTGATTCCAGTCTCCAGTGTTTTGCAGACCCAGATCCAGCCTCATTGTGCCTTCCCAGGGTTATTGGTTTCAGTAAAGCAACACCTCTTCCTTGCGAGTCTGATCCCAAATGTGCAAGTGTTCTCCTGCACACGGCTGAGATCCTAGCAGCACGTGGACAAACCACAGAGGTCTGAGACCGAGCCCCGAGGTGCCCCCTTCTGATTACTTGTGATTCCACCATTAGCCATGTGGTACCCTGCCCTTGCAGGTCTGATTCCCAGCTCTGGGGTTTCCTTCTCTGAGCTGCTGAGCTACTCTCACGATTCAGATGATACCCTCTCTTCATATGACTGAGTCCAGCTCTATAAAGCCGCTTGCCTGATGTTTTAGGCTCTGCGAATCCTATCAGATTTCTTTTGGTGTCCACTCCTATAGTTACTATCTCTGTGTTGCTCATTTATCAGTTCCTTCTATATTGAGTTCTCTTTATTGAAATACATAATCTGGTTTCTGTTTTACACAGTCCTAATTTGTGTTGGCTGGGGTAAGTCATGTCACCATTCAGATTCAATTCCTTACTTGTTCTATTCGTGTGTGGTTAGAGAAGGGATAGTTCAAATAATATTAAGGTGGTGTTTCACCACCTTTTCTGGTGACTAGTAGTCCCAACACTTCCTCCCTGCAAAATAATACTTATGGGCATGTGGATTTGGGAAATGTTAAATACAATAGCAAACTATGAGAGAATCATCATGTACATAGCATAATAAAGGTTTTGAGAAGTCCAGCAGAAAAGAAACCTATTTTGCTATGATTCAACATCTCTTCCCAAATTATTTGACTGGAAAACTATTTTATTTTCAGTTAACCTCTATCACCATTCCATGACATATATTGAATAATAGTATTCTCTAGAATACTTAGAAATTCAGAAGTTTTATAATTTTATGAGTTTTTTCAAGATCTTTTATTGAGGAGAAATCTAATGCCAATAAATTGGTTTTACTTATCTGTTTCAGCTCTAAGCATAAATGTTGACTGAAAGTAATGTCTTTTGCAGTGAAATGTCGAATGAATGCTGAGGAAGGGGCAGGAAGGATGTCAGAACACCAGGAAAATTATTACAGGAAATGAAAGAGAAGATGAGAGAATTCTGGAGGGGATTAAAAAATAGAGTCACAGTGGGTTCCATGAGGATAAGTACGGTTATGGTTAAGTGAACAAGCTATGGATTGACACTGCCTGGGTGTGACTCTCAGCTTTGCCACCCGAGTGCCACTTGCTTTTGAAGAACATGAGTTATCTTCCTTGTATCTTGGTTTTTCATCTATAAATGGAAGATAATAGTAGTATATACTTTACCGGTTTGTGAGGAAGATTAAATGTAACATAGCACGTAAGATGATAACACTTGCCTAATATTTAATATACCCCCTAAAACAGAAGCAGGCCCTAGAGAGTTAGACTCATTTAATTTACATAGAAGAGAATAGTAATGAAACAAGCATGAATTGTTCAGAATGGAAGGACTCTAAAGGGCATCTGATCAATCCCTGTCATCCTATAGCGGAGAATACAAGGAAGTCTCCCAGAGACGAAGATTTGGTCAGGGAGCTAATTCACAGAGACATTGGGTGGAGCTCTTGGTCTCCTCACCCTTAGCAAAGCGCTATTTTAATTACCTTCTAATTTGTTGGGCTGTAGAATTTTTGCATTTTTCTGGATTAAGTTAAGAGTAGTAATCTCAAAATACTTCTTTCTGGGTTCAAAGCTCAGGGTGACCTCAATGATATTTAAGGCCCAACAACGGCTAATGAAGGGTTTATCAATTTGGACAAACCACACTGCATGCTTTTTCCTATGCCTCGTTCCTGTTTCCCTAAGACTATTTATTCTATGTGGGAGAAACATGGCTAGAGTCAGCATCAGGAAGAGCTGGGAGAGCAGAAAGAGAGAAAAGTAGTCTCGTTCATTGATTTTTCAGCTTTATTGAGGTATAGTTGACAAAATTGTAAGGTACTTAAAGTGTACAATGTGATGATTTGATATATGAATACATTAGGAAATGATTCCTCTCACTGAGTTAGTCAATTAACATATCCATCACCTCTCATGTTTACCTTTTTAATTTTTTTTGCTGAGAACAGTTAAGTTCTCTCTTACCAAATTTCAATTATACAATACAGTATTATAGTAGAGTTACTATGTTATTTATTAGATACTCAGACTGTATTCATCTTATAACTGAAAGTGTGTTGAGTGAGCAGGAAGGAGAGATCGATTCTGGATACAAACTCGACTCTTTGTTTACAGTGAAGTGACTGAGCCTACCTGTCCTGTACCTTCTACTTGTCAGAATCACGAGGGACACTAACACTGAGTAGAGGTAGTGTCTTCATTTCTTCATACTTAAGAAAAATCTTCTCCCTAGCTTTATTAAACAGAGAGAACCATGTTTATTGTTTTCTTTAGTGGTATACCTAGAAAGGTAGAAAATATGAGATATAGCCACAGTCATAATAGAACAAGGCTTCATTACAGTTACAATTTTTTCTACAATTTCATGGGATTATGATGAGCATATTATTTTGAAAGGAGAGCTTACTGAGATAAAACAGCACTGTATTGCAGTCCAACTAAAGCTATGTACATATGCATACTTATTTATTTATTTATTTATTTATTGAGGTGAAATAGCATCACAACAAATGGCTAAGCTCAATACAGGCTTGACACTGAAAGCTATTTTATTAGCATAAGGGCCTCCAACATGCTGGTATTAACCTATTGATAAATATTTAGACTATTTATATTTTGCTCTCTTTGACAACTAAGCCGAAATAAACATAGTTTAAGGCAATCTTTGGAAGTGTCAGCATTTCTTATTTTATCTTCTTTGTGGTAAATGCTATTCACAGTGACAATTAAAATATTGAACAATGAAGGACAAAGATTGGCAAATTCATCTTGAGTCCATCTTATTCTCTTACAAATTTTTTCTCTAACATACAGAAAAGAGGAGTAACATTAGTGCTTTTTGGCCCGTACGTGCTTACTCAAAGCTATGTGTTACAGATTTTCAATGTTCAGAAAAGCATCTATACAAGTGTTAATGCTATTTAAAAAAATTCAGAAAATGAGAACTTACAGAATACAAGTTGTCCTGGCTTCAAGCTATTCAACACTGCTGCTCACTTCCATCGTGTCTTTGGAAAGGTAAACTACCCAGTATACAAGGTTAAATCCTGCAAATGCAACTGGAAAGAGAATCCGAGAATACTGGTCTATTTTACTGGTGCCTCCAAAGGCTGGAGAGAGTGGTGGGGGTGTGACAGGTGTTGTTTGTAAGACAGGAGCTCTGGTGAGGACTTTGCAGGCCTCCGGGGATGGAACTATTGGCAAAGGCAGAGAGGTGATTCTTTTCTTCAGATGATACTTGGAATTAGGATGCTGTAGGGAAAAGACATAAATATTCAGCCTAGGTAAAAGACTAGAGATCACATTGTTATTCACCTTTTCACCATGGACAGATATTTATTGACTACTTACTGTGTAAGATAAAATATTAGCAAATTACTTTTTTTAATATTAGCACATTCTTAGTATTTGATGGTGCTACTTTTCCAAGAAAGTTGTAAAACAAATTTAAAATAATGATTTGCGGCCACCCAACATCCTAGAATTTCATACATCAGCAATTGATGCCAAGCATATTCCACATCCCAGAAACTGCATTGACCACTGGGCCATTAGGAAGAGATGAACCAGGTTGCAAAGGCTTATCCACCCCCTTCTCCTCCCTGGTGATGCATAAGCTTATAGGGCAATGTGTGTGGGCAATGAGAGGGCATTTAAATTTGGAATATATGGACAATTAATTAATACAAGAAAATATAGCAGTTCAGTTAGTTGATATCATTCTTCTAGCCTACATCCTCATCTTCACACGTTCATATATTTGAACCAGCTGAGATAACAGCAACAAAAATTATTAAGGTGCTCATGTATGTGAAAACCAGTGACAAAGTGTCAATACCCTTAAACTGAGTGGGATGACTGTTCATCCCTTGAAATACAACTGCCTCTTAAGCCCAGAAGTTCTATATTGAGAGCTCTCTGCTTCCCATTCAGAACTTCTCCACTGGTCTCATCTACCTCCATCCTAAGTCACCAAAAAATGATTCATTTACTGACCTCAGAATTGTCAGAATTATTATATGTTCTTTTTTATCATTAGAAATCATAAAACAACCATTTTTAGTCCTGAAAAGGATATTTAGCACATTAATTGTTAGGTGCAAAGGCTAAATCCGGAGAGTGGAGCTGGAAATGCCTAGCCCTTAGTCACACAGCTGGTAATAAACTACCCTGGTCAATTGCAATGCTTGTTTCATCATCCCCACATTTTCTTGTCTTCACTCTAAAGTATTGAGTGTAGTTCAGAGACTCTAATTCTGTTTGCTTTCGACTCCTTTCATACTGTGGAGACTAGAGGACCTTGCTCTGATTTGTATTTTTTCTTGCTATATCCTATAATAATCACTCTCCTTGTGACCAGGTTGCCCTTGCTGGGTCTCTGCCTTCAAACACTTGCTGTACATTATCTCTGCTCTTGTAAAACTGCCTTGTTTTCTCCCTGGCAGCAAAATCACCACTTTGATGCCTGGCAGGGTATGTTACTCACATGGGCAGACTCCCGTGGCTTTAGCCAGCAAACCCGCAGCAACAGCATGAGGCAGCCACCTCCCCTGTGCCGGTTGAGCCACAGGACCAGAATGACCTGCCGATGTGGTGACATTTGGAGTGGGAGAAACAGCAATTCCAAGAACCTCTTCTCTTTGTATTCCCCTTTTGAATTCTGCTGTTTGATTTGTCATGGAATTTACTGAGTATCTAAATAATAATAGTCATCATTGAGAGTTCAAGCCCAGTGCACTTTTAGAGGCCATGGGAAAATCTCCCTCTTCACCAAAAGCACAAATGAGTCTCTGTAGTAGTCAAGTCTGATTTCTCATGACCATGGTGAGTTGCAAGGAAAGAATATCTTTACTTGTTATGTGTTGGCCCAGGATTGTGCTAGGGACTCTTGACAAAAATTAAATAAAGAAGATAGAAGGTAGAAGATAATTTAAAATAGTAGAGGCCTCAGTCTGCTGATCTTAGGAAATAATTGACACTTCCTACTAAAAACATGTGATAGCTAAGGACTACTGTGCCCAGAGTCACAAGTCAGCATGTGGATAGGACCAGAGTAGTGATATTTTGGTCTCAGTGCATGCTGTGTCTTAGAGAATAAACATAGCACCTTCTTTCCAGAGTTTCCATCATGTATCTCAGACTCTAATTTGAATTTTCAGCCATTAACTATGTTATTGAAATGGTCTCCACCTGAAAGAGCAAAATGTGTTACTGTTTCATTTTCCAAAAAGAGTTATCCTCCTCCCAGATACAGGGACTATTAAAATATTTTACTCTAGTAAAATTTCTAAGGATCATGATGGAGTAAAATGAGGGCAAGCCTTTAAAGCAGATAACTCTTTCTAAACTGATGATTTTTCACAGCATGTATTCCCTGTGTTTATTTCTTTTTTTAAGGAGAAAGAGGGCAGACATGAAAAAGTTCATTGAGACAAAAAAGTAATTATGAAACATAATCTACCATGAAGATGTAAGGCATTGTTTTATCTTCCCCTCTTTGGAGCTGTGGGGGAAAAAGTTAATTGTCAATCTTTTGGCATTGTCACAATGTCACACATGACTTAATAAGAATTACCAAATGACCCTTGTCCAGAGGTAAGCAACATCACTCAAAACACCATGAAAAATTTAATAGCATTAGCCTGGAATGAAAGATCCCCTACAACAGGATTCACCCTCTCCTCATCTCCTTCTCCAAACAGTCTCTATGGAGGGTTGCATAAGAGTTAAGAGGGCAAGAGAGTCAGAAAGCCCTCGTTTGCAATTCCACATATACTACTTACGTGCTATATGTAGTTCCCATCTTTAAAGCTAGGGAAGATTATTACTTTCTCTATAAGTTTTTCTTTTCTTTAAGAATTTGAGAAAGAAAATGTAAGGTATAAGTTTATAGGTAAGATAGATGGATAGACATTAGATATACATATATAATATATATCATAGATATACTAGAAAGAGAACACTTTTTTGCCTACTTAGATGTTATAATTTGTTCAGCAGTTATCACATTTTTCCTTGTAAATATTATTTCTGTTGCACTTTATCTCCTTTCCTGACATGAAATCTCTTTATTGGTAGAGGGCATATTATTTTAAGTATAAGTGTTCCACAGCCCCTAGTCAGTGCACAGAACATAGTATGTGCTTAATAAGCATATGCTGAATCAACAAATGAGTGAAAATCTAAACGTTTCCAGGATTTCTTAGAGTAATCAGGCAAGGAGAAGAAAATAAAGATTTTGATGATTATTTTACATTATATTTTAGTGTACTGTTTCATATTACAAGTACCATATCTAAATGCTTATAATTGACAAGCACTACACAACGTTTTGCATGCATTATTTTGCCTATTCTTAGAAAAAATATATTGTAATATTATTATTTTCATTTTAGAGATGAGCAAATGAAGGCTTAAGTGGGAAGCTCACGCAGTAACTGGCAGTGTCTGAATGTAATCACTCTTGGATGTTAAGATCACACTCTTAATAATTATTATGGTTTCTTCCCATCAGCTTTAAGGTTCAGGGCATGGTTTCTCAAACACAGAACTATTGACATTTTGGGTAGGATACTTTTTTGTTGTGGAGGATTGTCTTGTACATCACAGGATGTTGAGCAGAATCCCTGGGTTCTACTTCTACTCACAAGATGCCTGTAGCATCTCCCTCCCCAAAGTTGTGACAACCAAAAATATCTCCAGACATTGCCAAATATTCTCTGGGGAGAAAAGTCACCTACCACTGAGTATCACTGGCTTAGAGTTACAGATATCTCACTGTCCAGCGGCGATTGGGGGTGTTTCTAGCAGGCAGCAAATATGATATTTTCAAGGAAATGCAAGAGGCCTGGCTGCCCTACATGCTGGATAATCAGCTCCTGCATAATTGGGAATTGGCAGTACAGGAAACTGGACTCCAATTTAGAAGAATCACATTGAATTTCTGAAGTGAAAAGAAAGCCAATTTTGCAAGCCATTCAAGATACAGGTTTGCATCAGACCCCGCCTGTTCTATTGTAACCCCGGCAGCTTCAGCTGATGGTAAAATAGGTTTTTGTCAGAGTCCAGATGAGGGCTCAGCTTGGGGCTGTCACTGCTTTGAGTGGAACACCTGTGGTTTCGAATTTTTCCAGGGCTCCCCTGCTGCTGAATGCCATCCTGCTTTGGGTATTTATAGAGCATTGCTTTGTTTTAAGTAATGCCATATTGCAAAGGTACTTTGAGTCAAACTGGACTTTATGACAATGAATTGTTGGATGTAAATATAAGACATTTGGAAAGTACTTAAAGCAATTTTTATGCAACATTCAGTGAGTCTAATATGTTAAAGAGGAGGGGGCAATGGGTTATCTCTCAAGAGAGATATTCTAACCATGGCTGCATTATCCAATGGACAAACAAAACATCTGGTTTTAGAACCAGCAAACAAGGGCCCAAATATAAATTTGAAAATATTTAGTACTTAATATTTTTTAAAAAACTATTATGTTAATTATTATGGAGGAAATAAGAATTTCAAATCAAATTTTCTTGCATCTAAGTAATAGCTGGTAGAATTGGGACAGAGACAATTCCAGAATTTCTATAAAGAAGCAGCTTATTGGCAGCAATCTGCTGGTCTGTGGTGCTAAGTACATGTCTGGAAACAACATTGGAATGTTTGGAGGGTGAAGAAGGGAATATTGGATGAGATTTGATAGAAGGTACGGGGAAAGAACTAACCACCTACACCCCTTATCTAATCCACCCTACCCTCTCTATAAGTTATGAAATAGCACAACCATGGTGAAGGGACTCAGAGTCTCTGATGGGCTTAATTCAACCCTTAGTTCTACAGAGTAATGAAAGTCTTCAAAGAAATCTCGGCAATATTTGGAAATGGGAAGTAAATCTTTCAGTATTCTATGCTTCATATCTCTCTACATAGGTGGAAGGCAACATGATAATGACCCAGCAGATCATCCCAACCTTGAAAGGGAATATAGAAAGGATATGTCTTATTTCCCTCTCTATGTCCAGGTTGGGACAAGCAACTGACTTAGTGTTTCTGGAACAGGACCAGGCTAATCTTTCTGTTCTCAGCTGAGAAAACACTTCCTCCAGAATGATGATCCCTCCAGCCTGTGTTAGGTACTCTTGTATGGCTCTTCTTTAACCACTATACATCTCTAACCACAGCCTTTATCATAGTGTATTGTTATGGCTCATTGGTTTGTCTTTCTTACTGTTCAGCAAGAAGCTAGTGAGGGAAGAGGCCCTACTGATGTCACACACTAATGTATCCCCAGCATTCTACAAAGGATATGGAACATAAGAGCATTTAACAAGTGCTATGGTATGAATAATTCATTGAAGACATAGGTACTCAATAAATGGGTGCCAGATGAAAAGGAAAAAAAATAGTGAATAAACAATGTAATCACTATAAATATAATTATAATCCTGACGAATGAAATTTTGGCCAATTATGTTTGTAGATAATTTACCAAGAATGTCACACCTCCTGTGAAAAAGGAAAGCCACATTGGATGTGTCGATGGGTGGGGGGAATTCATTCTTAGGAACATAGTAATGAGAGTTTAGACCTTTAAAATAACAAGGACACTAGCAAAACATCCAAAAAGTGATTGAGGTCCAAACTTGGTCTCACACGCAGAATAAGTATACCCCAGACACATAATAATTTATGATACATGAAGATAAGAATAACTCTCTAGTGCCAAGATAGCATACCAGATAAAAGCAATAAGGAAAGGTACCATATAAGCAGGCAAGAAGCTGTGGGTAAAATCTAAAACAAAAAACAACAACAAAAAAACCCAGTACCTAGTTCCAAATGCCTTAAAACGAGAAAGATCATTAGTAAACCAAGCACTTCTGAGGATTTAGTTTTAGATGTCTCTTCAGGTTTGATTAGATTTAAAACTCCTGAATTTCTTTGTCTTTATTATATTAAATTTCAAGGTCAAAATCGAAGTGATAAACTTTTTCCCATATTCATTCTAAGTAGTTTCTTATGAAAAGCAATTAGGACATTAAAATATAATCTAGAATCACATGAAACATCTAAGCACTTAATTTTATTTCAACCTCACCACATTGGTTTGCTATTTCAATGTCCAACTTACTCAAATAACATCATTTTGATTACAACTGAATAGGCGTTTTTAAATGTCATGGTATTTGAAGGAAAAAATGGCCTAGCAATCATAATATATACCATTGTGTTGTATAAATTGCAAATGTATAATTTATGTTTGTTCCTCTATATTATATAAAACAAATTGCCAAGGTTTGACGTGAATAAATAAAACATAAATGTTCTGTGTAATCATCTATATTTATTTTTGGTACCTACAAGGTTTGTATTGTTAAGTTTGCTTATTTTGATTTTTATTTTTATGCTTTGACCTACCCTTTCAGAAACAAAATGCTGCTTTTCATGGCCTTAAAGTGTTTTAAGTGAAGCCGGGTTTAGAAATAAAATTTTTCATAAGAAAAAAGTCAACTTGCAAGAAAAAAGTACTTTGAGATGATTTAAAAGCATTTTTTTATCCAGCTTCCCAAAGGACCTGCTCATTATATGTTACTATTTTAGAATTGTAGAAGATAGCTCATATGAAGACCTGAGATCTTAAATTCCATCTTATTAATAAATTATATCTTTAAAATAAAAGACAAAGAGAATACTAACTCTCTGCTTTCTCCAAGGATTTGAAATTGTATTTCTCTCAGGAATACATATTTCAAAAAAATTTAAGTAAGGAAGTTGGTCTTTCTTTTTATCTCAATATCAGATCAGATCAATGAACATATTCAAAATCATTGGACTTATTTTTTATCTTGTTTCTCATGAATTTCTCTTTTCAATTTTACTGCATTTCTGGAAGGAAACTGTTAAACTGAATTCTGATAAATATGAATTCTTCATTTATAGATATATGTTAAGATGATATGTGACCATTGGGCAATATGTTGATTATATACCTATATTAATACAGATGGCTTATAACATAATAACTTTTATTTTTACAAACATAAGCTAATTCTCAAAAATATTTTCTGAAAAAAATTATTTTCCAAGTGTTTTGGATTGAGTCTTCAGACTAGCACCCTTTTGCTGTAAAATTTATATTTTTATGGCCTTTAAAAATACACATATATAAAGAAAACATCATTAGGTCAAGGGAAGAATTTTGGTAAAAGGCAAAAGATTTATACGATCTGAAGAGAAACCAGAGTATATTCAAGGGAAGAATTTTGGGAATGATCTCACATTCTGAAAATGTTTTATCTTGTGGTGTGCACTCTTTTATATATCAGGCTTTGAGGATTGTTGGAGAGGGGATAGTCTCTGCCTCTGTAAATCTGTGTGTATTGGACTTCTGTGATAAATTCCTAGTTTTTCTACCGACTAGTAACTAACATCTTCCCTCTCTGAGATACTGTTTTTGATTTGTAAGCAGAGGTAATTAGTCTGGATCACTGGATGGGAAAAAAAATTTTTTTTTAATGAGAACTAATTTAAAAAAAATCTTTAAATTATATATTTCCACTTATGGGAACGGCATTATTTTATTCCTCGGAAAAAATATAAATTCTCAAACATATTTCTTAGTATATCAAAAGAGAAGTTTTGATAAGAAACTATCATATTTTTATCCAATAAATACATGAGTATTTGAGAATAAAACACACATAGCTTTGTAGTTTTTATCATTAAAGTTAACCAGGGATTAGCTGAACTACATGTGGTTCTGTGATTTAGAAATGTTCACAAGAATTGATTATATGAAGACATTTTTAGTTCAAAGTGTTGGCAGTACTTGATTTTACAGAGCAAAATTTTCTTCTTTTCAACAACTACTATGTGGAATTTGCATTGACATAAAAATGTATATTTGTCAATAAGCCTATAATCCATTAAAAAAAGTGTGTGCAGCTGAACTGTTGTGAAAATTTTACTCATATGTGGAATTGAAATTTGGGGGCACATTTATGACCCTTGAATTACTAATGCCATCATTTGTTTCTTTTTCAAATAACCTCTGAGGACCAGAGCTTAGTCACAGCAAATCTAAACTTAATTTTATAGGTATTTATCACTGATTATAAGTCTTTGAATAAAAACACTTTAAGATACATGTATTTAATATACAAATGTGAACATGAGTGTTTTCATGAAAATCAAAAACCTTGCTTATGATTCAGCATTCATAGAACCTAATATTCACATCTTGCCTTCATGGAATGAAGTAGCAAGCAGATTTCTAACAAAAATTGTCCATTTTATGGGAGTCCCTGTTTATTTGCCTCAGACTCTGAAGCCTCATTAGGAACTTTTTTTTTTCACTTTATTCTCCCTAGTTGGTATAAGTAAATCTTTTCAAAGGAAACATCTAAAGGCTGAGAAGAATGTTCTCATCTCCTCTGAGAGCTTAGAATCTGCTAGTACTAGTGAGGATGATAAAAGAAGAATGCCAAAAGTTTAGAGCAAAGATAAATGAAGGCTTATTGCTCATTTTTTTTGCTCTGAAGTAGGAAAAGAAGTTGGCCTTCAAATCAGAATTATGTAACTTGTGCTCAACTAATAATACTTTTGGACTATTTAGTTGTTTGTGATCACTGTTAGGCTGCCTTTTCCTATATTGATGGGTAACATTAGAAAAGTAAACAATTACCAAAACAATCTCAGCTTCCAACGGTTCTCTGGCTTTTGATATTGTCACTGGGGGTGAGGCTGCAATCTGTGCCCTCCTTTTGGCTTTCTGTGTCTGAAGATTGGTAAAGTAGTTAACAGCCGCGAACTCAATAAGAGCTGAGAAGACGAAAGCAAAGCAAACAGCTATGAACCAATCCATAGCAGTTGCATACGACACTTTTGGCAAGGAGTGCCGGGCACTGATGCTTAATGTGGTCATGGTTAAAACAGTGGTGATCCCTAAAGTGAAAAAGAATAAAAAATGCAGTATTAGCATTTGGAATCCGGTAACAACATCAAATGAGCATGTGTCAGTGGATTAAACACTCTGCAAATGTAATTTTTGTTCTAGTTTTATAATTGTTCACAATTATTATCATAAGTATTACCATTTTTGTATGCTTCAATACCTAGTATGTGCCATATACACCGTAGCTGCTCAAAAAATATTTTCTGATTTGATTTAGTTTAACTGTTATAAAGTTAAACTAATGAATAATTCTAGTTGTTTACTTAAGAAAATTTACAGCAAATTATCATATAAGTACTAAAACCTTGAATTCTTGGTCAGTTTGAATAGCTGATAATATCTATCAACATATTTAAGAAGTCTATTTGGTATAAATAGTAAACATAAAATTAGGTTCCTCATTTTTTTACATTTCTAGCTTGGTTTTAAGGTAAAATATTTACTCATGAGAAAATAATTTCATCACTCAGTCACCAGCAGTTTTATATCTTGTATAATAGTTGGAGAATATATGTAATTTGAAGATGGTCAATGTCATTATATGGATATTCTTTCATAATTTGCAGAAAGAAATCTATTTTAATATAGTAAATTAGAAAGTCAAAATCATCTGAGATTTCAATTCAACTCAGGTCTTTGCTATGAACCTCTCTAAATGTATAATCATGAAAACTTAGAAAAAGTTGGATTTTGTTATTGATGATACTTTCCATTACAACTTTTTTTCTCAAAATTAATAGTGATTCTACATATCAAAAATGACACTCAATATTTAGGTTGAACCATGGGAAATTGGTTATATTTAACTATTTTTAGATCTAGAAAAATGACAGTTTCTTATGGTTCAACCTAATAAAGGCAAGATATCATTTATATATTAGACACGATTTACATATTAGGTTTCAATATCTTTGCCTTTCTTTTCATGAATTTACATGTCAGTTTTTACTTTTCTGCTTTTCCTTAATTATGAAAAAGCAAATTGAGGTTTAAAAAAAGTAAAAAAAAAAAAAAAAAAACTCCTAAATAGGGCACATGAAAGTCACAGAAATCCAGCCAGAATTCTTGCCAAGACAAATGTTTATGTGAATTCACCGCATAGCTTGGGATAATATAAGGGTCATTTAATATAATACATATGCCTCAATGAGATAGGAGTCTATTTCCTTTGTGGATTGAAAAAGTGCGCTAGTGTGAATATGCCCTGAACATTCACAATTCCCCCAACATATCACAAGCAGTAAGAGCGGGAGGATGCGTGGAATTATAGCCAAAGAGTGAAGCATACCAAAGACAGTTCTAGCCGGGACAGATTCCTTATTAATCCAGAAAGACACTTGGGAAAGAATGACTGTCATAATGCAAGGAGTGTATATCTGTATCATGAAGTAGCCCATCTTCCTTTGCAAGTGGAAATAAACTGTCATTATTACGTATTCACCTGTTGGAAAACATGTATATCAGTATTATTGCTGTTGACAGTGTGCAGAAAGAATGCAGCTGGAAATAAATCTTGCAGATCTTTAAATTAACATGCGCTGGAATAAAACAAGTAAAGGCATATTTCACTGTATGACAAAGATACTTGATCAGGCAGATGGTAGATACATCAGCTCATTGTTTTTGGTTGGGTTCTTTGTGTCATATACATACAAAACTATTTATTCCAAGGTTACACAAATCTTTATATGCTCATGGTTGCAAAATCAATTTTAAAGAATGCTACTCATCACTTCAAAACAGCAAGCATAGCTGAGGATGGCTAATGCAGAGAAGAAAAAAAATAGATATTTCAAAAATGTGCATGGGAGTCACCTTGCTGAATTACATTCATGAATTGGTCTAATTCTTACCTGTGTTAGATTTAATTGTCTCACTAGATACGGTTTGTCCAATCAGATCGTACTGGAGAAGACTTGAAGATTCTTCTGGGACTTCGACTGAGTAAAGTGGTCCTTTTTTCCATGTATATATGATTTCACTTTTGGGGTAAGCATCTAAATTTTTTAAACAAATTAAACATAGCAGTGAATCTGACTAGTTGTGTTTTTGTTTCCAAAGCAAATTTTTTCCATATAAAAAAAGAAATACAAACATAAATTTTCTTTAATGTTTTTCTTAATCTGGATAACTAAAGCCTCCAACTATTTACAAGATTGACAGACATGATTAAGTAAGTATATTCCTGGAATCACACTGAGAGTATCATAGCAATATTTCTCTTTTGCTTTCTGGTCTCTGACTACAATAAAATAATTATATATATGTATTTTTTAAAGACTGCTGCCTTTGTTTATTTATTTAGACTTATTTATTTCAGAGAAAGGGGTGGGGGAGAGGAGAGGTGGGAGAGGGAGACAAGTAGACTCCCCACTGAGCCCGGGGAGTCCTGAGATGGGGCTTGATCCCAGAAGCCTGAGATCATGACCTGAGCTGAAATCCAGAGTTGGACACTTAACCGACTGAGCCACCCAGGTGCCCCAATAATTATATATTTTGAATGCATTGTTTGACTCTCAGAAGCTTTTTGTAACTTACAACTCCCAAACTTGAGTGGACAAGCATGCCCATCCATAGGAAAGTTAACCAACCTCATGGGACAGTCAGCATTGATGGTAAGCCTAGGGATATTGAAATAAATGGTTCCAAGTTAGTATGATGGACAAATCATTTGGTTAGAGGAAGTTGAATTGGGGAAACCTCACCTCATGGTATATAAAATGGTTCCATTCTGCATTATTCTGAAGAGTTTATTAGGGGTTGTCATATTGTGTGCAATTGATTTTTTGCCATTCCTGAAAAAAGTGTCAGGTGTCCAGATTTTACTGACCATCAAGTTATTCAAACTCAAAATCTCAGTTGGGCCCCCAAACTTCAACCTCTCATCAGTCCAAGTCTGGCGAAAGAAAACGTCCATTGTATACTCCTAAGAGAAAATAAGATATTCATGAAAGCTGGGGAGATAGTTTATTAAGAATAGTTTATTCATTAGCTTATATACCCAATTCTAAAATTTAAGAAATAAAAAACTTTTTATGATAATAACCTTCAGAGAACCTGTGACTTCAGGAAATTATTATTTTTCTCAAACTTAAAGTTTGTAATAGTATCATAAAAGATGGGACTGTGTTGTGCAAACCTCCCTCCTGCACCTTGACCCTCTTTAACAATCTTCTTCTTTTCTATCAGTCATCCACCTCTCCATCTATTGATCTATTAATTTTCCCTCCATAAATTTAGAAAAAAATATGAAAAGATTTACAGTCTAGGTTTTGTGCTGGTCTTCCTACCATTATTAGTCTGATCATTCCCCTCAATGCCTTGTTCACTTTCAAAGGTGTCTCCAAACACCATGGTACCCCTTAGCAAACTTCCAAGGATAAGTAAACTTTGCTTGATAAGTGTACTCTGGTTGCACATCACAATAATTTTATATTATTCTGGAGAATATAAAAGCAAATGTTACCATGATAACTTAGAGCATCATTTAAGTATCCATAATTAAAATTTTGAGTTTTAATTTGTGGCTTTTATGAAATAACATTAGAAATCTTAAGAATTATGGTGAGAGCCATTGCAAAAGTCAATGATAATTAAAGCTTTTAAGTATATCAAAATATTGCCAATAATTGATTTGCCTACTTTATGTGTTCCTGTATGAGACCTATTACTGCAAGTTGTGATTAGATTTTCAAAATATAATTTGACACACAGTATATCCATATAATAATGATCCAGGCAATAACAAGTCTCCACTGTACAACTATACTTAAATAATGAGACGCATACATAAAATGAAGTGCCAAGTGTTCCCCAGACTTCAATAATATAGTATAGTATGGTTGTGGTTATTTATATTTGGGGTGAGTTAGTACTAAATGAAAAATATGATAGTAAAATAATTGAGGATTCTGGATAATGCTGACCCTCCTTTCTTTCAAGTCTTAAGACATTTATCTCTTAAATAAAGTTCTTCTTCTCCTTCACTTCCTCATTTTCTTTCTTACTTTTTTCCCTCCCTTCCCTTTCCCTTCCTCTGGTACTTCTTCCTTTTTTTTTTTTTTTTTATCCCTTCTTGCTTCTTTCTTTTCTTGTCAATTCAAAGATCAGGAAATAAAAAAGTCTCCAATAACTATTTATCCAGAGCAGCATTTCCCTAATAAACTTTAATGACTCAACTATTTAAAGAGTTATGTTCATTTTGATTTTAGTATTTATATTTTACTTTTGGGGGAAATGGTACCTGAGAACTGTGAAAAATATCATGATGCACTTTGTTCTAGAAGACTAGTTCAGATTTTCATTGCCACTTACTATAAATACTCTCTTATGACTCCTACAGTCATCTGTACCTGGAACAGAGGTCCTAGAACACCTACTGGTCCATTTGCAACACAAAAGGTACAAAGCACTAGCTTTTCCAAATGATGCCCTTTACTGTTTTAATAATATATACTGAGAATGATGTGCTACAGGAAACAGCTATATTTTAAGTTTCATAGATACTCTCAATATACTCTTACGTGACATATCTTTGTTGATTTTTCTTTTTTCTATTCTAAAAATTTACCAGGACTTCATAAAGATGGGGAAAATCTTATCTTTGTAGAAAAGAATCAGTGCATGATATGTGGCCCAAAGAGAGAATAGAATCTTAGAAAGTCCCTCAGGTTAAAGTGTTCAAACAGAGCCCTTAGTGAAATGTGAAGGAGATTAAGCCAGTAATCTGCTCTAATGACCATGCCCTCCCAGCATGAGTACACATATTGCATTAGGACTCTGGAGCCAAGCTTGGTAACAATGCCCAAGATCGTTAGTTCTGGGACTCTGCCCTCCCACCAATAAGTAAAATTACCCTCCCCACTTAGAGCTCACTCACCATCTCCACATCTGACACGGGCCCAAAACTGGTCACATAAATGTCTGTTTTGACTTCAGTGACAGCACCTGAAATTAGGCCAGAAGAATGGCGGCAAATATCACCAGTTATTTTAAGGACACTGAACTTAATGACCCTACCACAAAGTCCCTTCTCATGGTCAGAACCTGCAATCCATCCTAAAGGAATCCGGTAGCAGGAGCCCTTGGGTTTTTCAACTCTGAAAACTCATACCAGTTGCATTATTTTGAAATTTTTCTGGTCAAATGGGGAATTTAAGGAATGGAAGACAACTAAGTTAGTATTCTCATAAAAATTATAACAATAAGTAACACATCTTATAGTTTTTTTGGGACAAATGCTTAGAAAAGTGCTTTAGATGGAGAATCTCATTCTACACTCACACAACTCTATGAGGCAAGCACTGTTCATACTCCCACACTACAGCTGAGGAAGCTGAGGCTTAAGAGGGTTCAAATAACATGCATAGAAGGTCACAAACAGAGGAAGGGACAGAGACTGGACAGGAACACGTGGCCTCTCCTAGTACCCCTGCACCTTACCACTCTGCTATCGTTATGAAGCCCCTGGGTCTTGGAACAGAGGGAAGGGGGAAAGAGAGTAGAGATATTTGGTTTAGTAAGAATGCTGCTTCTCACCTCCAAATCCCGGCCGCAGCCGGTTGTCATAGCCTTCAAGCAAGTTGTCCAGGATACGACTGATGTTTTTGGAGTAGAAGTTTCCTTCATCTTCAAGTTTCCCTAGGGTATTTTCTACCCTGTGAGTAAACAGTCCATGATCCTCACTCCCAGGCTCAGAGAGAATAGGCTGTTCAATCTACTCATCTATCCCACCACAAATACATGCCACACCACCCAAGCTTCTTCATGATTTGGTATAGAAGTCACCCAGTAGGTATGTCCATTCACTTTCCTCTGAACTAAAAGGAAAAATCAGAAAAAAATCTTACTCACCATAGAATAAGGTACAGCCAGGGCAGAGGCGATGCCATCTTTCAGTGCTCTGCAATGTCCAGTTCACCTGGGTTCTCCTCCCTCTTAACAAGCCCCCCCCCTTTGCCAATCAACTAGAGTAATCTTCCAGACCCCTCATATCTCTTTTTCCTGTTTGTGTCCAGCCAGTAATCCATAGATGAAGAGGTTGCCAACAAAACTTTAAATGTTCCCCTTGCTCTCTTGTTCTCGCTTCTGCCTTTTCATGTAGAACAACGTGGCTTGTGGTCTTAGACTACATCCTGATGGACACTCAGCCTCTTCTGGTGGACTCACTTGGGAAAGGAGTCTGAAGGGACAGTGTATGGTTGGAGAGCGGTGACAATAATCGAATAAGGCATTAGGGGAGATTAGAAGGAAGAATTCCACTGCTAGTTTTGGCATGGAATTAGCAGGGTCCTGTGAGGAAATCTGGAAAGCAGTGGCATCTCGCTGAGAGAGATTATGTTCCAATGGGCTCAGCATTTATTATTTCTGTGGTTCACAGAAGGATTCCTACACAGCTCTTACTGCTTAAAAAGTCTAACAATATTGAGATCCTTTTGGGTTCTCTTTCTGATTTAATCATCTTTATTGCATCAGACACACCTTTCCTCCGCATTTAAAAATTGTCCCTCATTATTCTTTGAAAAGTTTTATAATACACTAGAACAATGCCTGGCTGTCTTGCTATTGGGTTAATATTTTTTAAGTACTTTGCTGATCCTTCTTAAGATACAACATCTCAAGCTAAGCCATAAATGGGTCCTACTACTATCTTTAGAAACTTGGCCAGTTTCATGGATGCTGCCTATAAGAGACAATGTCCAGAAAATATTTGATTAAGGTTATCCATGTAGAAATACTGTAAGAATAAAGCATCTATGGACGTGGTTAATGATGATGTTGCTGCACTATTTCACTAGGCTTGCCACCGGTAAAAAGCAAAATGTTTGAACCCAAGAAATAGCATTCTCTGCCTAGTCTGGTAGATGGAAGTTGACGTAAAAGAAGTCACTTTAAGCCTTAAAATTTAAATCTCTAAATAATTTAAAATAAGAATAAAGAAAAGCATTGTGAATCTCTCTCTCTATATATATGTAGAGAGAGAGTATATATATATACATATATATATATACACACACACACTCATATATATACACATTTTTTTAAGTTTTCTTACGTTGTTTTACTTGTGCTAAGCTGAAACGTGCACCCTGGTCCTAGCTCTCACCTTTGAAACCATACACAATAATTTGTCAGGGAAAGAGCACATGGCAGCCATTTAAACAAATATATCTATCATGTCCTCTCAAATTTAAGCTAAACATTCCTAAAATCTTTTGTTCCTTACAAAACCTGATTTCCATATATCTTCTTACTCTTTTCACTCTAAACTTACTCTAACTGATGACCACAACACATTTTCACCTCCCACTGATTGTACAGTTATAATCTAAACCCTAACTGTCTGGTATATATGATGCTATGAAATAATTCTCTGTTCATTTTTACTACAACTTACTATTTTCATTAGAAAATGCTGCCTCTGTCATAGGACTCTGTATTGATCTCTGTAAACTTGCATGATTTTTTTCTATCAATATGTTTATTATCCATCTCTGATTTTTATTATCAGTGAGAAAACTTAGGTGTTTAAGATTGGATTTTTTTATATGGTTAAAAAAATGATCATGGGTGAGTTGTACCTACTCTTATAGAATAGGCATGTTTTTCTCATTAAAATTATTTATTTAAAAGAAACAAATGATAGGTCACATTTGTCTCTATAGGGAAGATTAACTCCTACCATCACCACCAACAAGGTTTGTGTATAAAATAACTTATAAAGACTCAGGGTGATTAGAGGAAATTATTGCACAGAAAAAGCAAACTTGGCACCAAACGGTAAGTAGTACTTTCTATGATATAAGAGAACTATCAGTCTTCTCAGGTATAGAAGGGGCTTGAACCAAAGGATTCTGGTATTTATGTAAGTACTTCCCACCTAGTAAGAACTTGAAACATTTCCTGTCTGTGTTAGAAACTGTTATGGGGAGCAAGTCAGTCTAAAAATAATAAATGCAATTTAAGACTGTATCAGTGAAAATTAACATAATATTAATAACTACCAAATATTTAACATTTACTATTTGCCTAGAATTATGTTAAGAAGTCCATATACTCCAACTCATTCATGGCTAACACAAAAATCTATGAGTTGTTGTATAATTGAGTCCATTTTGTAAATCAGCAAATGTGTAACTTGCCTAATCTCACAGCTGAAAAATGGCCGAATCAGAATTCAAAACTGGGTATAAGCTAAGGCCACTGGACTGAACACAGTGAAAAATAAAGTTCCATTCTATTAAAGAAATAATTTCTAACTGTGGTACTTATCCAAAGATGGAATGAGTACCATAAAAGAAAATGAGTTACCTGTTAACAAAATATTCAAGTATAGCATAGAACACCATGGGTAGGTTTCATGGATGTATGTTTCAGAAGGAAATGACATAATCCCTAAGAACATACAGTAGGAGATTGAGGCTATTTGGGGTCATTGTGAAGAAGAGCTGTTTGGTAGAGACCTCAAGTGAATATTTGGATTCAAAGATTCTGTGATGGAATTTCTCTGAAATGATGTGAGAAGAGTGACTTAAAGAGGTTTCTAGTGGTAAAATGTATCTTGGTGGTGCACTGGAGGAGAAAAATGGAGAGATAACTACTAGGCTGTACTAAAGGAAGAAGAAAAAGTGGTAGAATATGGTAATAGTTAATAGTTATTGAATGCTTACTATATGTCAATCATGTACATTGATATTATCTCTAATCCATGCAACTACCTTGCAAGGTAGCAATTTTATCTTTATTTTATAAAAGGGTAAAATAAGGCTCACAAAAGATATGTAACTATCTTAATGTCCCAGAGCTAGTAATTGTCTCTAATTCCAAAGTATACGCTTTTATACTTGATGCTTTACATATGATAACTCTGATTCTGTTTTCTGAAGTTGGGTCTCTTAAGCTCTCTGGACCAATAATATTTTTTATATTGTTAAGGGATACCTGACCTCTCTGTGGGCACTAGAAAATTTCCATGCAATACTGTTTGGGAATCCAGTGCAGTAAGAATAAAATTGCTCTGGGAGACAAAGGACAATAAAGAGAGAGTCCTCTGGTCACCAGCTTTAAATTGTTCTGGCTTGATTACCAATAGAATGTTGAACACATTCTAAGGCATGAAAGTAGAGGCAGGCAATATCAATTTCAAATCCTAAAACACAAACATGGAGGAACCAATAGTCATGTCCAAAAAAGATCACAGGTCTATAAATTCATGATTTATACACTTCAATTTAATGCTTATTTATTAAGTGCTTGATGACTAGCACTTGATGCTGAGGATATAGAAATTTTAAAAAACAATGCTTACCCTTAGGAAGTTCATATTCTAGATGTTAATATCAACATAATAAAACTGATAAGATACTGAGTGCTAAACATGATTAATTATTAACCATGTGCAATGGGAACAGAGTAAAAAGGTATCTGTGTGTGGGGGTGGTGGTCAGTGATTATTTCATGAAAGACACAACATTTGGACTGAGTTAGAGACATTAAATAAACTTTTAACAGATTAGGAAAGGCCATTCCAGGCTGCATGATGAACTCAGAGGGGTGGCAATTCATGATATCTTTATAAACAGCAAATAAGTCTGAGAAACTAGAAAATAGGAAACAAAGAATACAATGGATAAAAAGTCTGGAAGATAAACATAGTCCAATAGAGAGAGATTTCATGCTTCTCACTTGGAGGATTTTAGAAAAGCCATGGCCAAAAAAAAAAAAAAAATAGAAAAGCCATGGCCATGTGTAGCAGACTACGATGGAGTTGTCTAAGGAATTCATATCAGCACTTTTTCTCTGAGACTTGCCCTACTATTTCTTAGGGGTAGGGACTTAATTTGTCATGTTTGTACTGCTTGATCCTGTATCAAGCTTCTGTTGATTATACCACTTTGGTATTAGCTAACTCAGGTTAATTAGCAGGCAAGTTACTTAGGCAAATTATTTATTATCTCGAGGTATCATATTCATCACCTATAAAATGGAATTACAGGATCTTGATGAGGATTACGTTAAAAATGCATTCAAGCCTTTATCACAGGAAATTGCCCATGGTAAACAAGAAACAAAAACACCCATCAACATCACTATTAATATCATCACCCATAATCATCATTGTTTTCGTTTTGGGCCAAACCAATTTTTTTCTCCAGCTTTTAGAAATGAAGCAAAAAAAATTAGAGATTGGTCTATGTCATTTGCTGAGGCTGCCAGTGTTAGAGGAAGGCATGTTTGACCGAATTCATGCTACATCAGAGAAATATCTACGGACAGAGAGAAACCAGAAATGCAGTGGTCCTACAGAAAGAAACAGAGACAAATCACTGCAACCCAAAAATCTGAGAGAGCACCTGCCAAATTTCTGATGGCCTTTCTGATTCCATTCCTTCATAATCTAGGTGTCATTGCTGCCCTGAGTTCCCCCTGAAAGCACTGTATCCTTTTTATAGATTATTTTTATTTTTATTTATTTATTTTTGCTCCAGGTAAGTGGGTTAATGCCACTAGCTCCTAAGGGGTCTTTTATATCTCAGAAGACTACATCCCAAACTTGAAAGCAAAATTTCAGATGATGATACAGTATGACACCTGGATGTACTGACTGCATGACGCACTGGAGAGCACACCTAGACAAAGTGGAATCATGAGTGTACTTCCTGGGCCTTCTGGAAAGGAAGGTGCTAATTGGCAAATACATAATGATCTTGCTGCTTAATGAGTCTCTCACACCTCCGTGGAGTAGAGTAAGCATTTCAGTAAACTGCATGAACTCTTTCAGGCCACTAGGTGACTACTGAACATCATCTTCTGGCCCATGCCCCAGAATGTTTGCCTTTTTATCAGGTGCTTGGAGTATAGAAAAAGGACAGAATTTTGGGTTCAAGCCCAG